TTCCCAGGCGTAAGCGAGAGGGTGGGTGTTCTGGGTCCCACCCCCTTGGCCTCTCCCAGGGCCCTTACTTCCTGTGTCCCCCAGCCACCTGGGACAGGGGCCCGGCCCCTGCAGGCCACAGCCACCAGCCCGGCCACTGCCGCCTCTGACGGTGTCAGTCGTACATGAAACATGGCCCACCAGTAATAGCCAGGGTACTTCGAGCTGACTGCTGGGGACAGGAAGGGACCCCCGTGTGGGCCGTGGTGACTCCCAGGTGGAGGAGGGCGGTTTTTCCTCATGTCCTATGGCCATTGCAGCCTCAGACAGGGGCAGCTCAGGTCCAACCCCCACAGCGTGAGTCCGTCCTACATGTCCTCGAGCTCAGGGGTGGGCAGGGACACCTTCCATAAAGTGCTGGCTCAGAGGCCCGGTCCCCTGAGCTCCACCGGGGACCCGCGTGCTGCAGCGCCCCTCACCCCCCCAGGGCCAGAGCCCAGCTTGCATCTCCTAGGGCCACAGGGGCGTCTGTGCAGAAGCCCTCCTCCCCCAACCCTCCCCCACAAGCCTAAGCCACGGTGTCTCCCCCAGGACCCCACAGCCCCGGGCTGCCCTGCTCTCCCACACCCAGGGTGTCTGTGCAGGCTGCTCTTCCTGTGTACGTTTTACCTTGCTGCTTCCTGCCTCAGCCTTCAGCTGGGAGGCAATGGCCCTTCCCTGGAGGGGCGCCCTCTCCCCGGCCCTCCTCACTGTCTGACCTTTATGATGTAGCACCGTGAGTGTGATCTAGGTCTACCGCAGTGGCACGAACACTGTGGGGGAGCCAGCATGTTTCGGGTTCCCAGGGCAGTTCCTATGCCCAGCTTGGTTCCTGGAACATGCCAGGCCCTGGGTAGCTGCTTCCTGATGAAGGAACCACAGCGGGTCTGTGGTGGGTGCAGGACTTGAACCCAAGTCTCTCTGTCCCCAGCCTGGGTGCTATCTGTGTCCTCACCTCCACCCTCCCGGCGGCTCATCCCAGGGGCTGAGCCTCCCTGGCCGGCCTTGTCCCCAGGCCTGGCTGCTGTAGACAATGCCCATGAATCAAACTGACATTTCCATTACCCAAGGAGATGCGTGTGTGGTCGGGAATGGGAGGCCGTGGAGGGGATGGTGGCAACGACGGCTCGTCACCGCCCCCAGCCTGGAAGTCAGCCTTGTCACTTTTGAGAGACCCAGGTTGGCCATTAGCCCTTGGCCGGGAAGGATGGGTGCTGGGAGGTTCCTCTGCACCGCAGAGCAGAGGGGTCCGTAGAGTGTACGCAGACACCGCCGTGCATGGGTTTTCCCCGGCCAGCATTCCCCGTCACCACAGGGAGCAGAGGCCCCAGCTCCTGCTGTACTCTCGCAGCCTGGGGAGCAGGAGGGGCAAGCGCCCTTGGCCAAGGTCAGCCTCAGGCACCCTTGGGCACAGGGGCTGAGGCACAGCGAGGCTGGTGTGCAGCTGAGCCCTGGGCAGGTGACACCCAGAAATGCTAAGCAAGGGCCGATGCAGGATGGGCCACAGGTCTGCCAGTGTGCGGGTGAAAAGACAGGTGCACACCCAAGACACGTTTGCCCAGCGTAAGAACAAGGAGGAGGCAAAGCCGTGGGCAAGGACAGCGGTGGGCACTTGGCTTCCCCCCACACCTGTGTGCTCCCCCAGGGGCCCTCTGCCTTCACACTGGGTGGCCTCTCCGGCCTCCCAGTTCAGGTACAGCAGCATGAAGACACCCTTGAAGTAATCTGGTGATCGGTGTGATTATTGCCCAGCCTGCGTGCAAGGGCTTCCTTTCATCCAGCCGATGGCCTTGCTGCACCAGAACACAGCTAGCTTCCAGCCCCTTCCCAAAAGCACCCAGAGGGAGTCAGGAGGCCTTGCAGCCCCCGTGCCCCACGTTCCTCCTACCTCGCTCCCCCCCCCCGGGACAGTGGCCCTCGTTTGAGCCGTCCACATACCATAGTCACATACCACTCACACGAGTATTTATTTAATGTTTTTCTCTAAGCCAACTCTTTCTTTTAACTGAAATGCCTATTTTGGTTTCACCCGAAGCAGTAACGTCTGCGAATGCACTGAGGTGCCTGTTTACACATTTTTATCTAATACACATTTACATAAACACAACTATTAAAATAGATTAAAATTTTGCCTGTGTGTCAACTAAAGTCATCTCCCGGACCTCTGGGGGCCGTTTGCCAACTTCAGAAGGACGCTGGGTGACAGTAAAGAGCTCTGAGAGGCCTGGCGGCCCCGGCCACCCCACCCCCAGGTCCCTGCCCAGCCCACATTCACGCACGGCTCCTTCCTGCGTGGGGCCAGAGCCTGAGCCAGCGCTGATGTTCAGGGCCTTCATGACTGGGTCAGTCTCCCTCCCAGACCTTCTCCAGCTCCACCCCCATAGTCCAGTGATTGATGAAAAATGACTCACAAACCTCTCCCTTGACCAATGAATGCATGAATGAATGAATGCGCACACATCCATCCGGGTATCCCCTAAAGACCTCCAAAGTCTCCCTCTTCCTCACCCCTGTGCTCAACCCATAACCAGAGTCCCTGCCATTGTCCCCTCCTGCCGTGCCAGCCCTCCCCAGTCCCTGATGGTTGTTCCTCCCACTTGGCATCAGAATCTGCCCACCTGGTGGGCAGAGGGCCACTCTACTAAGCCGAATCCCTTTCCTCGAGCTTCCGGTGTGCCCAGGATGGAGAGAGAAGCCTCTCACATCTGGTCTGTGCCAGAGCTTGGTATCTTCCTAACACACACAGCTGGCCGAATCTCCTCTGGAAGCACTGCTGCCCCTGGGCACAGACTCTATGCTCCCCGGGCAGGCTCGGGGTCCCTTGTGGCCCGCTGCATCCACCTCTGCAGCCCGTCCCCACTGTCCTTCTCTCTGTACCTTCATCCGCACTCATTTTCCATACCCCCTGCACTCTTGCTTGCCTGGGTCCTTGACAGCCTGCATGTCTCAGCCTAAGTGTCATTTCCCTGAGGGAGCCTCCCCTGACCACTGCCCCCAGCAGGGGCTGCCTGTCAGCTCCTCTAGCCCCTGAATCCCCTTCAGCCATTACTGAAGCCTGTGCTAGGCGCCAGGACACCAGCCTGCTTAGCCCGCACCATGCCTTTAGGAGGCAGGCAGAGACATGATCTGCATTTAGTGGATGGGAAAGCTGCAGCACAGACAGACCAAGTAACGTGCCCCAGGTCTTAGGCAGAAAACCAGGAATCGGAACCAGGTAGTCTGGCCCTTGAGCAGGACTCCGTGGCACTCTGCACACAGAACGACAATCATCTGTCTCATCGTTCACCCTGTCCCTCTTTGAGCGCTTCTGTTCCCCATCTATAGTGCCAGGCACAGTGCTCGGCACAGAGCAGGGGCACGGTGAATCCCAGTAGGGGAAGGATGGGTACACAGACGGATGGTAGCGTGAAGAGGGTGGGTGGTGCATGGAAGGATGAAGGATAGAGGCCTAACACATGGAAGGATGGGAAGTGAAGGATGCAGGGGTGAGGGAATGGAGGATGGAAGGATGGAGGGTTGGATGGGTGGGTGGATGGATGGATGGATGGGTGGGTGGATGGTGACTGGATGCGGGGGTAGGTGGTTAGGTAGATGCATGATGGATGGATGGATGGATAGATAGATGGATGGGTGGGTGGATGGATGGTAATTGGATGGGTGGGTGGAT